AATAACACCCTGGGCTTGTTCAAACCTAGGCACTTTGTAAGCTGTTCTTAATATAATTGCTGTCTTTGGGCATCATGTTAAGCCATGGAACCATTCTCAGTCATCATGAGAATTGGCTGCCCGTGCATGCAACCTGTTCACCCTTCCTTTTCAAGAGCAAGTAAACAAGTACTTGGGTTTGGATGACAAACCCAACCCATCATATGTACAAGGGCTAAAGCTGCTGTGGATCAAGGGGCCACTACTAACTTGCAGTCAGATGGAATGCAGAACTGTCCCTTAGTAACTGAGGAAAAATGCACATTGAGGTTCATCAGGAAGAACTAATTCTCTGTGGTAACTAGGATACCCAATTCGTATGAGGGTCCAGAGACAAAAATCAACTGACATGCTGTTGTTTTGTTTGTACTTGTCATCTTGATATTATAGTATGATAGAGCTCAGGTAAAGCCATTTTAAGTGAATCTATAAATCAGTTATGGTATTGAACTCATAGCCCTTTCATTATTGTGTGCAAGAAGCTGTAGGCCCTTTTTGTGGAGAGTTTGGGGTGTCTAGCCCTCTAGCCCAGTATTTCCCAAAAGGCTTTTGGGCTCAGCTCCCCTTCTAAGCTCTCTGATCTTCTAGTCCACTTCCCCCAGCTGTCATCTTTTTAGTAGTTGCATAAGCCATTGGATCTTCCAAGCACTGCTGCAGGCATTCAGCCTGATGCTGCACTGGAAGGGTCCTGTTGACTGTCCCATGCTAATTCCTCACTGCCCTGAGAAGAGAACTGGAACACAAAACCTCAGATTCCTTCCTAAATCCTGCCACTCAGCAAGGAAAGGCTGTAGGAACTGGGGCGAGAACTGCAGACAGAAGCCTCCATGCATTCTCTGCCTTTCTGCAGTTTCCGTGCGGGCTGAACTGCTGCTGCTGGGAGGGACGTGTCTCTGGCTCCAGCTGCCGCAGGCTGATCTCTTTTCCTGGAAGTTCATGCTTCCCCTGCAGGTGTTTTGTGCCCCTGCCAGGGGGATCTGCCCCACCGCTGTGCTTGTCTAAACACATTCAGTTGTTTTGCTGCTCGCTTGAGCAGCGTTCTAATGGAACATTCTTAAAGCAGCCTTCAGAACCCCATAGCTAGGGAATGCCATCTGCCAGCCAGAGGGGTGCTACCACCCGCTCTTTGCTAAAATGCCCCCCCCACTGCAGTTGGCTGCTCCTTTTGTATCTGCTCAGAGTGCAGTTGATTGTACTTGAAGGTCCTATGTTTATACTTCTGTGAAGAGAGCAGGTCTCAGGAAGAGGCCTCTGTTCTCACAGTTGAGCAGAAAAAGGAAGAGTCAGGTCTGCTACCTGCTAGTTAGCAGGCAGTGCCCTTCAAGCACAAGACCAGAACTTCGAAGCAGAATATATGCTTTACATGCAGGAGGACCCTGATTCCATCACTAGCCTCTGCAGTTAAATGGGTCAGGTAGTGAACGATTCATGGCATTTTCTTTCTTCTTCATGAGGAAGAATGCACAAAAGCCAGGTAACCAGTCCATTATCAGGGAACTGGGGGAAAAGGGTAAGGTCAGGAGAAGAGTGTGGCCTTCTGGGCAATCCTGGAGAGACCAGATTTGACCCTTGGGCCTGAAGGCCAGATGTGGCTTTCCATGCAGGAAGCTGGTTTGTCCGAGGTGAGCCTGTTTGTCTCTCTAGCTGAAACTTGTTTGCCTTGCTGTGACTGATAACAGCTGTGTAGGGCTCAGGCAGAGATGGGTGCCTCTCTTCACCCATTTCCTGACCCTTGGAGATGTCAGGCTGACTTGCATTCTCAATTTGTAGTAATACGGGTTAGGCAGCGTATATATTTTTTCTCAGTACATCATGAAAAGGCAAAACTCACTGGGGAAGACAATCATGCTAGGATAATTGAAAGAAGAAAAAGAAGAAGGCCAGCGATGAGATGACTCAATTCCATAAAGGGAGCCACAGCTTCATGTTTCCAAGAGCTGAGCAAGGATGCTGAGGAAGGGCACTTTAAGGGGCATTCATTCAGAGGGTTGCCGTAAGACAGAGATGGCTGGGCAGCGTGTAACAGTAGCATGTGGATGCCAAGCAGCAGGGCAGATGAAGTTGCCACCTTGGGTGGCAGATGCCAGGCAATGAAGAGGCAGTGCCAAGGAGTCGGCATAGAATCATAGAACAGTAAGGATGGAAGGGGCCATGCAGGCCATTGCATCCAACTCCCTGCTGTTGCAGGACACCAAGTCACACCATCCCTCTCAGATGGCTGTCCAGTTTCACCTTGAATGTCTCTAGTGTAGGAGAGCCCACGATCTCTCCAGGAAACTGGTTCCATTGTTGTATTGCTCTGACAGTGAGGAACTTTTCCTGATATTTAACCTGAATCTGGGTTGTTGCAACTTAAATGGATTATTCCGTGTCCTAAACTCTGGTATCTGAGAGAAGAGATTTTCACCTTCTCTGTGATACCCTTTGAGGTACTTACAGATATCATCCCCCCTCCCTTTTTGAGACTGAACATATCCAGTTCTCTCAGTCTCCCCTCATAGGCAGTGTCTCCAAATCTTGCATCATTTTTGTTGTCCTCCTCTGGGCCCTTTCTAATTTTTCTGCATCCTTCTTAAATCTTGGTGCCCAGAACTGGATGCAGTATTCCAGATGGGGGCTGACAAGTGAAGAGTATAGGGGAACTACTACTTCTCATAATTTGGAAGTAATACAAATTCGAAATGCATCCTTATTCATGCATGCCAAAATAGCATTTGCTGCTTTGGCAGTTGCATCACATTGTTGGCTAATATTTAGCTTGTTGTTCATGCTAACTTCAAGGTCTTTTTTTTCCAGTTCTGTTGAGCCACATATTCCCCATCTTGTATCAGTGTATGTTGTTTCTTTTTCCTAGGTGGAGGACTTGGCACTTGTCCTTATTGAATCTCATTCTGTTGCTTTCAGCCCAGCATTCAAGTTTATCAAGGTCACCCTGGATCTTCATTCTGTCTTCTAGGGTGTTTGCTTTTCCACCCAGTTTTGTATCGCCTGCAAATTTGATTATCTTTCCTTGTACTTCCTCATCTAAACCATTAATAAAGATGGTGAAGAGCCCTGGGCCCAGGACTGAACCCTGCGGTGCCCCACTAGTTACATCCATCTAGTTTGAGAAGGTGCCAAAGATGAACATTCCTTTTGTCTGATTTAGCAGCCAATTTTGGATCCACCTAATAGTTCTCTCACTTCAGCTCATGCTTCCTCTTGGTTGTCGATTTCCTTGTGGGAAAATACTGAAGCAAAGTAGGAATTGAGTGCCTCTGCCTTTTCCTTGTTGTCCGTTATCACTCTACGCGACAGACCTGTGCGCACCTCGCAGCCTAGCTTGCCTTGCACCCCTGAAGTACGGTGCGGGGAGAACACTGTTCCCCAACTAACAGGCAGTTGGGTCAGAATCTTCATAGAATATACTTATATATTTACACAATAAAAAGCACGTTAAAGTACAGCCCAGAGTAAAAGCAATATAAGAATAAAAGAAGGCAACCAAGCACAAAGCCATCTCAGCTCATAAACATCAGCTGTGGAATAAGATACCGGATGGGGTTACACTCCCTCCAAACACACAGATTAGCGACTTGCATCTGCCGCTGGGTTCAGCCCCAAGTCTGAATGCCCAGGTCTCCATGGTGGCCAGAAGAGCATTTGCACGATGAAAAGGAGTATCCCAGCTGCTCCCTTTCCTTGAGCTGTCTGATTTCCCCATGATGGCACGTGCCTTCATTACATCCCTTTTGGATTCCTGTTTTGCGCTCTACATGGGGCTGCCTCCTCTGAAGAGAGTTTGGAGCTTCAGCTGGTTCAGAGGGCTGCTGTCAGACTGCTGACTGAGTCTGGGCACAGGGAGCACCCAACGCCTCTGTCAAAACAGCCCCATTGGCTCCCAGTCTGTTTCCAGGTACAAATGGAAGTGCTGGTGATGACCTAGAGAGCCCTATACAGTTCAGGTCTAGGCTGTCTAAAAAACCATATTCTCCTGTGTGGGGCTGCTGGGGCTCTAAGATCTTCTGGGAAGGCCCTTGCAGGCAGGCATGGAGGGAACACAGGAGAAGGCCTTCTCTGTGTTTGCCCAGACTTTGGAATTCCTAGGGAGGCTAGCTTGGCACCCTCCCTGTTAGGTTTCGGAAAGCAGGCAGAAACCTTTTTGTTCCAGCAGGCATTTGGGAATAGTCTGGGCTGGTGATTAGATGTGCTGGATTAGATGTACTCTTTCTCTTGTTTGTAGTTTTGCAATCTATGTATTTGTTGAATTCTATTATTTAAACTAATTCAATTATACTTTTAACTTTTGTATCTTTTTGACTGTTTTAATTGTATGAGTTTTCATGTTGTGAGCCACCTTGAGTCTCAGTCAATAGGCAGGATATATGTAAGTGCGATAAATGAGTAAAGGCACTAACACCTGTTCTTAAGTTGCCTGGGAGAATAATAATAGCAGAAATGGCAAACAAAAATAACATGAAGAAGAAGCTGGTGAAGGAAAGCCCACAACATGCACACCAAGCGAACCTCTCTGGAATGAGTGTTCACAAAAAGCCAGCAATGGGAAGCTTGTGGGGGGCCCTGGGGTCCTTTGGCTCCCAAGCTTGACCTAGTGTAAGGCAGCTTCAAATGTTCCTATTTGATAGTTCTGGAGTCCTGTCTTTTGGATGGTTGGACAGAACTCGCGTGTAATCGGAAGCCTCGATGAAGAGCTCTGTGTGTGCACGAGGCAACCCCTTAGGAGCTGCAAAGACAGGAGGGAACCAGATATTAACAGCAGCAAGAAAATGGTTTGCACTGATTAGTGCGTGCCACCATGGCTCGGGCTTCAGATGCACCTACCAAGATGCTGAAGTGAGAAACAAGTTGTAAGCATTCGTCATGAAGTGGTTTTGGCAGGCGCTGTGGGAACTGTGGGACTGTGCAGCATGCCTGCTTGATAAACACGGTCTTACTTGTGTTTGGCATTTTCCTGCACTCAGGTGGATTTGCAGCTGCAGTCACCACCCCTCTGGATGTAGCCAAGACCAGAATTATGTTGGCAAAGGTAAGAGCGAGGACGGTATCGGGGTGATGGACAGGTTTGGGGGGTAATGGTACATCCGTTTTGCTTCCTAGCAACTGAATGGACTCTTACACCTTCTAAAGTTGCCTCTTTTCACATTTCATATTTGGGGTATCTTGTGTCTGTAAGTGATGTCACTATTCTTGACTTTTCCTATCACTTCTAGTTTCTTTTCCGACACAACTGCTGCTCCTACCAAAAGAATTACCCAAGTTTAATCTAAATGTGTATGTTTTGACTCTTTGTTATAACTCAGTGCCGGCAACTACTTACTCTTATTTATCAATGCATCAATAAAACAAGGCAGACTGATGCTATTTCTGCTTTTCAGATAAGAAATGAATTGCGAGATTATGGTTTGTCCAAAGCCATTTTAAGCTAGGCTGTGATTCAGTCCCCCATCTTCCAAATTCAGTCGAAGTACTCTGTTTGCAGTGCCAGACTCTCCCCACCGCACAATATATTTTTAGCACCATATTTCCAGAGTGCTTTATTAAAGGAATCCTGATAATAATAAGGATCTTGCACTTCAGTGAAGAGTAGGTGAATGGGATGTATGTAATGCAGAGTGGCACAATGGATAGGGTGTTGAGCTGGAACTTGGGAGATGCAGGTTCTAGTCCCCACCCAGCCATAAAGCTCACAGGGTGATTTTGGGCCAATCATGGACCCTTAGCCCAACCCGTCTCACAGGCCTGCTATTGTGAGGGTACAGTGGCAGAGAGGAATACTTTGTAAGCCATGTTAGGTTCCTTGCAAGAGGAAGAAAAGTGGAGTATGTCCAATGTGATAACAACAATAATATTCTTCACTTCAGTAAATGGCTCTGGTAAGTTTTGGCAGCAAGCCATTTTCTTGAAAAGGTAACAGGACAAGCAGCTCTTCAATGCAGTGCTTCTTTGCTCTGTGATGTTCTAGAGCAGGTAGGTTTTCCGATATTGTTCAACAGAGTAAAAGGAGATTAGCAGCCTCTCTGTATGTCTTGCTCTACACCTCAGTGGCAGGTCATTTGCTTTGCATGTGTAAGTTGTCTGGTTCATCCCCTGGCATCTTCACCTAGCAGGCCGAGAATGCAGAGCTTGTACAGATACTTAGTACGCGCCAGAGCTGAAAGTGATGGAGCAGAGAAATTGCCCAAGTATAGATGGAGAACCCTGGGTCTAGGCAAGGTAGTCTCTGAGACAGCTTTGTACATTTACACTTGCATTTTTTTCTTCTGCACAGACTGGTTCCAGAAACGCAAGCGGGAATGTGTTGTCAGCTCTGCATGGTGTGTGGAGAACCGAAGGCATAGTTGGGTAAGGATGAAAGCAGGGGACTGGGAGGATTAAAACATTCCTGTATGTAGTCTTAGAACACTCTCTTAGAGTGTTCTTAGAGGGACTTACCCACACTTAGAGGGACAGAACACATAAAATGGTGGGTTTGGCTCCCAACCTCCAAGCTGCAGAGCAGGTTCTGTCTGTCCCTCCATCCTGCACAAATGCTGCTGTCTTAATATTTTCATCCTTCCTGCTTCCTGATAATCTGTGAGAAGAGTTTGTCACATGTAAATGGATAATAAGAAGCTCAGCAGGCTTTGTGTGGGAGGCACAGCACTGGGGTGAATATGGGCAGGCCAACTCAATATGCACTTTAGAAAATCCTCCTGAGTCAGACCAGCGGGTGGCCAGCCTCAAAGCCACCCCCTGCTTCTGGAAGACCCACAGGCGGGACATGAGGGCAGCAATGCTCTCTCACTCATATTCCCCAGCAACTGGTACATGCAGGCACACTGCCTCTGCTCCTGGAGGTAAGATTATGCAGCCGTTCTGATGAGTATCCATTGTTAGCCTTGCCCACCATGAATTTGTCCCATCCTCTTTTCAAGCCCTCTGAGCTGGTTGCCATCACTACACCTTCTGGTAGCGAATTCCAGCATTACCCACGGACAGTGCGAACAGATTCTGCTTTGCAACGTGTGTACCACGTAATGATTCACTTCTCTAACTTTTAAAAATATTTGATACAGAGCTAGGGAGGAGACCTTCTGTAGGAAGGCCAGCCAATCTAACTACCATATCCGGTGATAACTGTTTGTTGAAAGAGGATTAGTAAAATAATCAGTTATTTATATTGGACCAAAGGATGACACATTATTTTTCCATGGAGAACTCGTGGAGATGTGATCAACCCAGAGGGAGTGGGTCCAAATTCTCCCTTGTCAGAGTGGGCTGGCCTCCAGTTGATCTGCTGCGCTCATGCCTTTCGATGGCTTCCTAATCTGTGCTTGTTTCCAGCATTCTCTCTGTGCGCACACACGTATCACATGCATGTTCTCCAGGATACTTCTAGCGCACTTGTTCAAGGACATAAAAGGAGAATTCCCTTGCTTCAGTTCCTTTAGTCAGTGATTGCCCTCTATTTTGTGAAGCTTCCTGAGGGTGTAGTCCTAGTCCCACAAGATCCTGTTTAGATGGTGTTGGGAATGAAAGAGGCGGCCGTTCTTGGTGGGTGTGGAGGCCTTGGGTGACCGGACTCTTCAGATGAGGAGGATTGGGCCTGGGCAATTCAGCCTCCAGATGTAAAGGTGGGGGAGCCAGGAGAGCTCATCTCAAGGCTGCTGTTTCCAGGTGTTCGGGTAGAGCCTGAGAACAGTCAAGATCTGCAAGTGCTGAGAGGAGGCATGGGAGCAGAGCCAGAGGACCCTGGTATGATTCTTGATCCCATGATGCCGGTCGAGAGAGGAGGGCTGGGCAACTAGAGGGACTGCGTAAAGCCGGGAGGTTGACCTGTTTCCTGCAAATGGTTTCTAGTTTGGTTTCAATAAACTGCTCTGTACCTGCTCAGAGACTTTTTCTTTGCTGACTATAGTTTGCTGGATGTACATTGGAAAGGAAGAGCTTTTGCCAAAGAACAGTCTCCTCTCTTGAAAGAGGGGCCGGGGGTGGGGGATGGGGGACACCTAGCACCCACACATGGCCATAGATAGGTTGGAATCCCATCTCCAACCCTAGAAAAGCATGCTGGGATTTTGGCCACAGAGTACCCCCCCCCCCAATCTGGCACAGTTCAATTTCAGGGGTTGGGGTGGGTAGGCAAGAAGATCCACTAGGATAAGCGGAGTCCAAGTGGTGCCCCAGCAGGCCAAATACTCAGATGGCCAAATGGCACAACTATGTCCTTTGCAGAGCGGGAGAAGTGTGGAGGCAGCCTTCAGCTCCACAGTCCTCCTCACTTGACTGCACGCCTGTAATCCTACGAGTTCGGAGAGTTACGGGATTGGATGATGTGCTGAGTAATGGACACAGTAAGGCGATTTTCCTTTCTGTTCTCTCTGATTGCCAGAGAGTAAATAAATGGGCTGATGATTGGCTTCAGTCTAAAACGACAAAAGAAGAACAAACAGAGGTAATTGGAAGGGGAAAGGATCACTCTGAAGAAAGCCTGTTTGCCTGGCAGACCTCTGCAGGATCACAGATTCCAGGAATTAGAAGGGCTTCAGAGATCATTGCACCCTTGGTGCCAAGGCCAGCTGTGTTGACGCACGCTTAGCTAAAAGTGTGATTTTGGGCCAGATTAGATTTGACATACATTGTGTGAATTAAAATTCATACCTTTTTAGTGCACAGGAAGCGAATATTGCCATCCACATTTCCTGGCAAAAACTGCCTTTCCAAAGCTGTTAGTTGCTTTCCAAGGGAAGTTTGAAAAGTTGGAGACTTCCCTTGAAATTAAAACGGCTTTTTATTACCAAACAGAGAGAGTGAAACTTTCCCTCCCCACTGCTAGGGATCTTCAGGCTTGCTCCTGATTGTTTGCCTAGCAAAAACATGCATGTTAATTGGATATACAGGCAGTGCCTGAGTTACGGACAGCCAAGTTATGCATAATCCATACTTACGAATCAACTGCCATAAAGCCTATTAAAAAAAAAAAATTACTATGGAAAATCGTCATCACCACAGAGACTGAGGAAGTGAAAGAGGAGAGAGGGAGGAATCCTAAGCATGCCTTCCTGCCGCCCCCCCCCCCCCCCCCCCCAATCTGGCGAGGAAAATCCTTTCCATGCCAGCTCCACCTTCATCTGGCTGCTATCACTTGCCTGTGCCTTCAGAAATGCCACCACTGTTTCTGACACTCTCTGCCATCCTTTCCCCTTGGACCTGCCCGGTCAGTGGGAGGAACCGGGCCAGCATAGGCAGTCACAGGCCTTCCTCTGTGGTTCTGTGCAGAGACAGAAGTGACGGGACCTGTGGGTGTGACGTGCCAGCTGGACCTGAGACAGCTGGTGGCATCCAGGGTTGGCTGCTTGGTGGTGCTGGAATTTTTGGATTGGTTTGGTTTGGTTTGGTTCGGTTCCCACCCCTTTCCCTCTGCTTTAGTAAGGTATACGAGAGAATTTGTGGATGTTTCTGGAACAATGAGATTAGGATGTGTGTAAGGTGATGTGAAAGTGTGTTTATGTTGGTTTAACAAAAAGTTCAAGGTGGGTTGTGAACAGGCTGTTGAAAGTTGAAAGACAGTAAGTTGCGAGAGTACTGCTGTAGGCTGATTGAGTTGGACAGTAGAATTGAGAAGATGGTTCTGAGGGTGTGAGGGAAGGAATTTTTGTTTTTCCACAGGATCTTACTTCTTTAGTGGTTTTATTTATTTTAATATGATTTCAGGAAACTCGGGGGAGCAACGGGGTGCCATTAGTGTGGCATGGGGAGAGGTAGGCCACGGGGGGGGGGGGGGGCTAGCCAACAAAGGAGAAGAGGGGTCAGGTATCTTACCTCTCTTCTCTCATCTGGCTTTTCCCTCAGCTGGATGATATCAGCCTACCCTCAGACTTGGTGGTGCTGCTTTTAAATGCCAGGTCGGTCCATAATGAAATCTCTCGGATACGTGATATGATAGTGGAAGGTGGCTTGTATCGCTGAGACCTGAGTGAGGGAAGTAGGTGACGTCGCTCTTTCCCAGTTATGCTCACCGGGGTACTTAGCACAGCACCAACTTCAGCCTGGGGTCAGGGAGGGGTTTGGCAGTATCCTGCAGATGTATGTTGCCTCTCTCAAGGCCTCCTCTCCACTTGGGGATCGGTCTTGTTCGTACCTGGTGCTGGGCAGTTGAGGTGTTAGGAATCTTGTTGGTGTGCTGCCCGCCTTGCTGCACATCAGATTTCTTGCCTGAGCTGTTGGAGGAGGTTTCGGACCTGGTTTTGAGGACACCCAAAGTGTTGCTTATGGGGGTTCTCAGTCTCCGTACTGAGGCTACCTCGGCCGGGGCAGCTCAGGACTTCATGCCCACCATGGGGCTGTCTTAGCACATCACTGGCCTAACTCATGAAAAGGGTCACACTCTCAACCTGGTCTTTCTAACCGGAGAGGAGGATGGTGATCTGAAAATGGAGGGTGTGACAGGAACTCCATTGTCATGGTCAGATCACTTCCTGGTTGGATTTAGACTTACAACCACCTCCCCACCAACATTACAGGAGGGGTCCACCCCTGGAGCTCAATGTTTTCCAAAGGGCTTTGGGGGATTTTTCCACTGATGTGGTTGGCACCATGGTTGAAGCCCAGGTTGATCTATGGAATACGGAAGTGACCCAGGTGGTTGGCACAATTGCCCCTAAATGCCCTCTTCCCCTGTGCAGAGCCTGCACAACTCCCTGGTATACTGCCCAGCTGTGGGCAGTGAAGCAAGAGGGTGGACAACTGGGGTGCAAGTGGGAAAAACCAGGGGTGAAGCCGACTGAACACGGCTTAGAGCTCCTTTCAAGCCTATTCCTTGGCGGTGAAGGTGGCAAAAGGTGTTTTTATTCTGCCAGCATCATGTCTTTGGAGTGCCGCCCAGCAGCGCTGTTCCAAGTGCTCCCGGGTCTTTTACGTACTGACCCAAAAGCAGATCAAGTGGAACCATGGGTGGCTCACTGTGACAAGTTTACTCAGCACTTAGAGGATAAAATTGTCCTGGATTGGACTTCACATTTAATGTAGTCCCTATAACAGAGGTGTCCAGTACACCGTCTAGTTCTATTCTACTGGATGAGTTTCAATTATTGAAGCCTGAGGATGTGGAAAAGTTGCCTGGAGCTGTTCGTCCAACCACCTGTGCACTTCACCCTTGCCCTTCATTGCTGATAATCTAAGCTAAGAAAGGGGTGAATGCTTGGATCCAGGAGACTGTAACTACCTCTCTGAAGAAGGGTCTGGTCCCAAATCCTTTGAAGGAGGTGGTGATCAGGCCTCTCCTAAAGAAGGCATCCCTGAATCCAGAAGATGTTAATAACTATAGGTCTGTGGCCAACATTCCCTTCTTAGGCAAGGTGCTT